GTTGTCGAAACGTCAGTCACCAACAACAGTTCTTTTCAGAACTACCCTTACCCGGACGATCACACCATACGAACTACTGATACTCCTGGGTTCAAACCATTTACTATGTAAAGCAGAAGTGTTAACGGTAACGACGGCGGGAACTGCGCGAGCACAGTGCATTATTAGACTTATTTTGACTGCACTGTGGAGTAAACGACAGGTTCAACTGGCACTACTGAATCTGACGACGTTCACAGTTCATCAAGATAGGAGCGCTTTTCACGATCATTCAGTTCGAAGTGCTATGTCATTGGTTTCTTGTGATCTATACCTACACGAACATAGTGAAAACGAATGGCTCTTATTTTTTCCCACGAAACTAATTCACTTGTGACAGGCTCCATGCACAGGAATAAAGACCAGGCGAGTCAAAAACTGGGAATAAAGAGACGTGGAGGAAACAGAGAGGGAGAGCCAATAGGCATCCTCGGAGACGCAGGGGGCAGCTAGTCGAGACGATGCGATATTTACGGGCGACCCGATATTTTCGGGGGAATGATTACTTCAAGAACTTTCGCCCGAAAATATCGCGTCGCCAGAAAATATCGCATCGTCCCTACNGGGGGGGGGGAGGGATTGAGAGGGCCTTGGCAACAGAGCCCTAGCCCCTATACCTTCCCTTCCTCCTCACGTCGCCCAATGGTTTTGCTCTTCAATCTCTCCTCAACCCAAGAGCCTCTTCACGGGATATAACCTAATGGCCTCTTGGACCTTTATCAAAATACCAATTCTCCTGAATGTTTACCATACAATTGTGAGAATTAGGTGATTATATGATCCCTACTTGTCTTCAAACATTCCCAACGCATCAGTTGAAGGAATGTGTTCGAATATCAACACCATCTTTGGTGATCTATTCCTTAATTCTCAAGTTCAGTACACTATTGACTACAAATAATGTAAAGAGAAAATACATGTCGATCACCCGAGGTTCAGGTATAATATAGGCTTTAGCTTACAACGCCTATTTATGATCTGGCAATGAAGTTAATTTAACTGTGTATTTGAAAGGCTGTTTTGTTTTATTTCGTTTCTTTTTTTTTCCAAAGAAAAAGTGGAGATGATTTTCTTCAAGCTTTTACCCCGGCACCAACCACATTTTAGTTATCCCTACCTCTTAAAATCCTAGGAAAAAATAAATGAGGCGCAAAGGGGAGTTGGTGCCCCAGGCATCTCACTTGTTCTTTGCCATCTAATTTAAACC